TATCAGGATATCATCAAATTTTGGCTCGATACCCTCATCCTCCATACGGGAGCTTATCTTCACCCACTTCCTTTGCAGTCGAGTAGGTAGACGTCTTGCTATTACTTCTAGTATAAAACTCGAGTTGAGGTCACTCACGCGATTCATCGAAATCATTCCATTCTTGTAAATTAGCAAATTATCTAAAAACTCAGTGAGTGCCTGGGAGTCATCCTGTAATTGACCACCATTACCCTTGACAGCGTCGAATAATTTCCCTGCAATCATCGAAGGTCTTCCAAACCTTTGACGTAATATGCTCATAGCCTCGTAGTAGCCCTCTTTTGGCTTCATAAACTTACAGCACTGTATAGCTCTTGCAGCATCTCCAGTGCAATATCTCATCAAATACATTAACTTCAATTCATCATTTAATAAAATACCACTCAACATGATCTCAAACTCCTTTACAAATTGTAAATAATCAGCCGGGTTTCCATCAAAACATCGTGGTTCAAATTTAGGGAGTTTGATGTTCCTATTATCCGTAAACGGCGAAACAGTAACATCAACCATATCATGCTTAACATCAGACACATCGCTACAATTAACAGACAAGTCACCATGACTTACTTTCCTGTTTGCATCCAAGACGCTCTGTCCCTTCTTTGACCCAGGCATTGTTGAACTTGACCCGATTCCAAAAAATTCCAGATATTGCTTGTTCAACGAGGACTTGACCGGCACCAGGAAAGATGTACTGTGACTATCCAAACTCACCAACAGTCTGAATCCGTCATGATCTGTTTCCACTGTCAGAAACTGTGAGCCACGTCTCGTAAACCGTTAATGCCCAGCTCTTGCTGCACTCGGGCTCATGCTGTTCCTTGAAGTTTCTCAGAAACTCTTAGTAATAACGGACGCAAAGACCAAAACACCGATTGGCCGCTTGAGATTTGTTTATTGTTACACCAACATATAAAAGGAATAAGCGAACTAAGTTCTGAAAACAAATATTACAATAATAAATCAATGTATTACTTCTGACGATGTTTCACTCTTCTTTCTGAACAGCGACCGATGAGACGATGACTGTCGTATTGATGCCTCCGCGAAAATTGGGGAAGTTGGTTTGAAGCAAACAACAATGAATTGATCGTTCAATCTTCAACTCCATTGACAGTATATGACTAACAAACATACGACGTATCTGGTCAACCACGCGTTGGCACATAATTGTTTGCACCAAGAATATTAACATTCAAATTGTAATTTGAAACTTGGAATGGTTTTATTCGTGTAAGTAAGTTTAGTATTTACCCCTCATACATAGTTGGCTTATCCTCACTAAACTGACGGATTGATACTAGCATAGTCATAGCATAAGGCACGTGAATTTATGAACGTTTCTTTCAATGTGGACGACAACACCGACGACGACTGAGTGACACAAGTTGATGAACTTGGCGGTGCATCAGAAGCTGTTGCTTTTTAGATATTTAGAAGTTTGTCTAACCGTAGGATTACCGCCACTGCCATCTTTTATGATTAGCTCCGTTTTAGCACTAACATCTGATGATGGATGGGCTGCGCGCTGATCACTCATACTGATGGTCTCATGAGTATCCATACCTTCTACCACTGCATCTGCCTTTAATTCTACTCCACGTTCAAGTTGTACAGAACCTTTGTTCAACTCAGCAGTAGTAGGCATTCCTCTCATACCATCATGATCAACCAAAGACAAAAGTGCACTATCATGACCACTGTCACAAATATCCACTTTACCCCAATTTTTATGATCAACTTCATCATTTTCAAACTCTTTAATAACAGCAGTGGACATTTTAGGTTCTTCCTCACATATCCTCAAAGGTTTTGTACCTTTGCGATGACTAGTAATAAGTCGCAAACTTGTGGGGTCGGAACTGGACTCTGAAACGGTAACTCTCTTCTTCTACACAAACTGTGGTGTCGTCTGTGACTCTCTATTCAACAGTGACTTACTGGTTGCAGCTTCAGGCTTCTTCACTGCACCATTGTCGTCACACAATTCGTAGTCAGACCTTGATGACGCTGATTTCGCACTTAGCTTACCGCTAAACTTGGCCACTGCTTCAGAGTTCGCCTTTGTATTCACCTCTTGCAAACATGTAAAACACAACCGTGTTTGTCTCGCGGCTTGTAACCTATCTGGTGGCGATGTCCCACGAAAGCTGTCACACTCACTAAGTTTATATGGATTACTAGATACCATAGAGCTTTCTCTGTATCCAATTCTCTGAGACCTTTCGTCGTAAATGATTGTGATTTGCTCTCAGACTTCTCTATTCTAGGGGTGGGATGCAATATACTGGCAAAGTTGCTCATAGATTGATTCACGCTATCTTTTACCAGTTTCAGAATATCATCGAACTTTGGCTCAATACCTTCATCCTCTATACGAGAGCTTATCTTCACCCACTTCCTTCTCAGTCGAGTAGGTGGGCGTCTCGCTATTATCTCTAGGACGGAACTTGAGTAGAGATCACTCATGCAATTCATCGAAATCAGAGTATTCTTGTAAGTCATCAGATTATCCAAAAACTCAGAGACTGCCTTGGGGCCATCTTGTAATTGATCACCATTACGTTTAACAGCCTCGAATACATTCCTTGCAACATCGAAGGTCTTCCGAATCTTTGACGCAGGATACGCATCGTGTCAGTATATCCTTCGTTGGAGGGAATGAACTTACAGCACTGTATAGCTCTTGAAGCAACTCCGGTGCAGTATCGCATCAAATACATCAAATTCATTTCATCATCTAATAAAAAAACTACTCAGCATGATTTCAAACTCGTTTACAAACTGTGGATAGTCAGCTGGGTTTCCGTCGAAACACCAAGGCCCAAATTTAGAAATTTTAAAATTTCTATTATCCCTAGCCGGCGAAACATGAATAACAGACTCATCATGTTGAGCATCATACATAACATTACAATTAACAAGCAACTAAGCATTACTTACTTTCCTGCCTGCTTCCAAGACGCTTTGTCCCTTCTTTCACCCAGCGATCATTGAACTTGACCGAAAATTCCAGAAAAGTTCCAGATAATACTTGTCCCAAAAGACTTGCAGACACCAGGGAAGATGTACAGAAAATACCAGAAACTGTCAGCCAACTCTCAGTAACTGTCAATGTCCAGCTCTTACTACGCTGGACCTCACGCTATCCCTCCAAGACATTCAGAAACGATTTGTATTAACCAACGCGAAAAACAGAACACTGATTGTCGACTCGAGAATCCTTTATTCTACGCCAACATATAACCAACAATGATGTTATTACACAAGGTCTAAGAATAAATGTTATGACAATAAATCACGATCATACTTTCTAGAGAGAGCTCATTAACATTACAAATATACGAATAAAAATCTATGTCACTGAGATGATAGTGCAACAATATATTATCAAAACTGCAGTAATGAGTTATATTAATTAAAAGGTTACTTGGATGCACTGTAAAATTCCACTGCTACAAATTATTTATATAATCCACGGAAGTGTTGACTGTTGGAATCATGTCTACTGATAGAAACTGTGTTCCGGTTGTAGAGTTGTTTTCGGATAAGGATATTAGGTTCCTGCAATAACTTCAAAGTATACAACACGGTGTGAGTGGAGCAAGTAGGCAGTAATGGCCAGAAAGAAAGCGAAGCTTTCAACAGTATGGTGTATTTCGATTTGTATTCGGAAATTATATATATTTAAACATGAATCGTTTTCAGCAAAAATCATGTACAATGTCTCTAACTTCAACGTCTAACAAAAAGTGCAAAATCATATAGTTACGTACTCCACACGGTTGAAACTCCTCCTGTGCAACTTCAGTGATGAACTTGGTTACGATCTAACGTAAAATGAGACACTAGTGCTATTAAGATGGGAGACGTGGGAAGGAATGTGTGATCGTATGCTTTATGAGTAGACGCGTCCTTTCCTGAGTTTTCTCTTGTACCATACAAAACCTGTGCGCGGCTGAAATTTGGGATGCATAATTTCACCACTCCACCATTACTTAAAAGAGACGCCAATCTCTTTTTATGGTTTCAGAGAAGGGCTATGAACGAGGTAATGGTCCTCAGACAAAAACCACACTAAGAAAGGCTGCGGAAATTAGATCCCCTTTACGTTTAGCCACCACAATTTGAGGAGTATCCAGATCACTGCTTACAAGACTACGTATGACCACAAATACACGAACAAATGTATCCTTCCACCACTTCATTACTAACTTCTTCTTGGCAACTAGAGGAGTATCATGTATCAGAAGGCGAAGAATTCAGTGCCACTCCACTTCCTCACGTTTCGAGTCTTTCACTCGTGTGAATCCTTACCGACAGTTTTATTTACTTCACACACGGAATGAGTCGAATTGAAGGTCATTCCTACCAAATTAAAATCTAATCCTCACATGCCACACTGTATCATTCGGTTTTAAACTATTTCGGTCTTTGATCCTTGCAAAATCCTTCTTGAATGGCTTGATTCCTTTCTGTTATTACTAATGTTTTTATTTTTTAATTGTTTTAAATTACATACCCGTTTGCATATCTAGTTTTACTCTTGTGAATACATAGTAGATACCAATCTTGTTGTTATCAGTATTCGATCACCTCCATGCCCTAAAATTTCGGTGTCACTGTCGCAACACCTCATACTACAAACCATTTGCAACCAGTATCTCCTAAAACTCCTCTGTTGCCTGCCAGATGTACAATAGGCTAGTGGGGGGTGGGACGAAATACGCAAAAGCTCATCAAAGAACCAGAACCATTATCTCACTGCCAAGAAGTGGACCCAGAGGAATCAATCTTCTTTGTGCTGGCCGGTAAAGAGTATACTTTGTGTTAGGTCGAACACTACAAATCAGTACAAAATTCGACTTTTGAAGGTCGAGTTGTTAATTCCTGATGGCCTCATTTTATGAAGGCTGTGGTTGTTACTTGCGTATTAGAAGTCGCAAAGTTCAAATATGATTCCAGCTTTATCGAAGTTCATAATATTTTGTAGTTTTAAGACAATGTGTCGTCTTATATCAAGAGATTTGCAAAAGAACTATTCAACCGGCAAACCAATTAGCTTAACGAAACTCGAGAACCTGCTTTATGCAGGAGCTGGAAAAGTAGAATTTTCCAATCTTATTAAGTCTGGAGTTGTTACAGATTCATGTCCTGTCAAGACTGTTTTCGTGAATCAATTAGCTGCTAACAACCCTATTGAAGACCGATGGAATGTCGGTTTAACAGAAGTAGGTTAATTATTTCACATTCCAAAGCACTATTTGGCTCAATTTTAGCAAGTATGGGCAGGGATTCTGCATACTCTACAGTTTATTTCAGGCAAGATGCATGAAATCTGATAGTCTTGCATTAGATTTTATTCCTCTCAAAGTTATTCGAAAGTTGATGCCAGTATCGAGTTATCAGTATACAAAGACAAAACTTTATTTGATTAAAACGGCTAGCTTAAAAATTATAAAAATAGGAGTAGACAATTTTACACAGGTGTTACAATCGGGCTTGTGCACAAGCTCATGTAAAAGTATTACTGTGATTAAATTTGAACTAGTAGCAATGCTGACAAAAGGAGATAGTAAGAAATTGCATTAAATACCATTAGCTCGAGATTCAAAATAATACCTATTTTGTCAGTTGGGTAGCCCAGTGACTTCTGTTTTTTTTATTTTTATAAACAAAAATCAGCTTCCCCAGTCGATTTTATGTAAGTGATTCACTTGGACGATAAATTCACCTGTTCGTATGACATACTTCGCAGTCAACTAATAAGATATACCAGATGACATCATGATCAATAGCTCCTCGAGTAAAAAGGTTTGAGGAGTCTATTTGGCCATGTTGAAGCATCACGACCCTTGAAATGCGAACATTGAGCCAACCAATCAGGAAATACAGTAGTTTCTACATCAAAGTGACGTTTGTTTACAAAAGAAATGCAGAGCATAAGGTTAAAAGACATTAGAAAGGATATTTCTCTCTGACATGGTTTAAAAGCAGTCCCCACTTATAGTGAGGAGTATAAGTTCTAAAGTTAAACCAGTTTTTGCATATGTATTCACTTAGGTGACTGAGAATGAGCTTTTTTGTGACCTGTGTATCTCTCCTATTATGTTTTGCAGTCTTCCACAAAAGCCGTCTATCGAATTACTATGGTTTTCAGTAAGAGATCGACAACTACTTACTAGGAAAATTTAGATAATAAAACTAGTTAGAATAAATAATACCAACTCAAAACCTAATCCTAAACCCAGACGAGCTATCAACACATTGTCCACACCGTACTTAGAAACGTGATTGGTGCAAAACTCATACCATAATTCGTGAGTGGCACTCACATTGTCGCTGCAATTATGGTAAATCCCGTTATTCGACGACTAGTATACATTCAAGGTCACTCCTGGGCCGTTATACTTGAACTTGGCCGTCTTTTTAAGGAATACAGTAGGATATAATCGTTTTTTCATAAACAGTAGGTCCTCATTATTCCGTTCAGTACTTGTTTGAGTTACAAATTAATTGTGGATTCGTACCTCATTTATTCATCAAGTTTTTGCTCACTAGACCTAATCCCTCATACTTTTCATAATAGAAATAAAATGTCTTACAATAATGTATGACGTCTGCCATAAAAGGTAATTATGTAATCGCATTTATAGATCAGTTACTTATGATTTATAAAGGATAGCTTTTGTAAGCAGCAGTCTTCTTCACATTGCAATTAGCTAATAGCTTCTATGGGAAATTAAGCCTGTTTCTATAACATTGTTTATTCAGTGGGTAATGTACGTTGACGTTTTAAAATGACTTCTTTTCAGAGTATGCTCAGACAAACAGAAATAACTCTTATGGGAAGGTCATTCGGATATATGTGATTTGACATACTATACATACATTGTCAGATGTGAAATTAGATGATAGAAGATTCGACTGTCACTATCATTCCTCATCGTTAGGTAGTGCTTTCTAAGGCTTCCAATGGGGACATCGTTAACGTTTGTGGTGTATTAGCTTTTAAACAACTAACGTCAAATGAAATTTAATATCATATCTGCAGTTAACTTTCAGATGTATATCAGAATCTACTGTGTTAATTAGCATTTTAAAAGGAATTAGGAAAAAAACAAGATTACTAAACTGGTGATAATTTCCTGCCATTATATCTGATACCGTCTTTTTGTCTGTTGTAAAGTAGACTCATAAATATATCCGTACAAATATGCAGAATTATTTATCACAACAATACGACCTTCTGCCTGCAACGAAAGTAAGGAATGAGTCTTATTCAGAGACTGAAATCGACTAGCCTCACATACCAATATGTTTACAAATTTGTGAGACACGTACTAGGCTCATACCGACGACTGCGAATCAGTGCAATATTATAGTATGGCTCTTTCTGTCTGTTCATGTATATCTCTGAGCTGAACACAAATTATGATGATGAATAAATGAAACCGATAAAGGTGCCTGTGATAACTTTGAAAATCCGTAGTTAATTTGAAGCTAATCATTCTCACCATGAACTGAATATTTATTACTCTTATTAGTGAAAAAAACGAACCCAGAATTTTAGTAGTTAGTATTCAAGCGGGTCTTTCGTTGCCATGGGAATTCACCATTCTGGTTCTGGTTAGTTCATATATATATATATATATATCTTCATACAATTGGTTCCCTTGATAAATTTCAGTATAAAATGGTATCATTCTATTTCACAGGTTCTCATCAGCTGCACACCTCTACCTGAAATTACAATGGTTATATAAATGATAATAACGTACTTTAGTGTTTGAGTGGTAGTAGAGAAGAGATACTATAAAATTGACGCATCGAAAATGAAAGCATTTCAATTGTTAGTTTAAATTTTCATCACCAATTTATGCGCTTTTATAGTTGAAAAGAGGGGGAGGGGTAAGACAGAAAACAGAAAAAATTGATTAACACATTTCCTGGATCTAAGTGTAAAAAGAACAAACGAAGGCATGGTCGAAAAGTCCATCTATAGAAAGGAAACCTGGACTGAACAATATCTTCACTATAACAGCTTTCGTCCCATAAGCTATAAACGTCAATTAGTGAGGACTCTGTACGACAGAGCCAGGAAGCTATGTTCACCAAACAAGGTCGAAGAAGAAGTCGATTTCGTCGAGAAATGCCTAAGGGAAAATGAATACCCTAAGGGATTTATACAAAGTATAGCAGAGAAAAAGATAAGAAGGAAAAGCATCCAACTGTAGAAAAGAAAAAAGTGTTTATTTGTCCCCCATTCAAAGGAGATGCAGTGTCACAAAAGATTGACAAAAGACTGAAATGTACAATAAATAGAAGCTTCCCGCTGTCAAAACTCATAACACCATACAGCACCACTCCTTCTATAATCCACTCCAAACTGGATAAATACCCTGCTGATGTCATCTCCAACTGCGTTTATGAATTTACGTGCACTTGAGGGAGCAAGTACATTGGAAGGACAGAAAGAAGGGCTTCTATCCGGTTTTCTGAACATATTGCAAGAAACCTGTGTCTGAAAGGAAGCAAATATTCTCTGAGTGCAATTACCAGACATATTGTTGATACCAGACACCTCGTAGAGATTTCTAAGTCCTTCAAAAATATTAAATAGACAAAGGACAGCAAATTTACTACGATTTCCCGAAGCGATCGCAATCCAACGACTTAAACCAGACTTATGCATTCAGAAAGAGAGTATGATTAACTTCTCACTCCCTTGGTAACAGAATTTTGATTTAGATTAGTCATCTAATTCAGTGATCTTAAATCACTGAACAAATCTTAATCTCATAAACTGTAACCGCTTTTGTTTTTCGAGTTGCTATGTGAACCTACAAGCTAACACTGTTCTGTTAATTTTTCTGTCTTACCCCTGCCCCCTCTTTTCAACTTTAAAAGCGTATAAATTGATGATGAAAACTTAAACTACAAATTGTAATGCTTTCATTTTGGATTCGTCAATTTTATTCTCTTCTCTACTACTACCACTCAAACATTAAAGTATGTTATTATCATCTATAAAACCATTGTAATTTCAGGTATTCTGCAGCCGATGAGAACCTGTGAAATAGAATGGCATAATTGTATTCTGCAAATTTCGTTTTTCTTTCTTTATCGATATATAGCCAAATATTATGCGTGAAATTGTTTGTCTGTCTATCACGTTTTCCTTTTTTTTTAAAACTTATATAACAGATGAAGGATCCTGCATCAAGTTGTTTATTCACCGTACTTGATGGTCATTCAGGTACAGCATGCGTACATGCACTTGTTTGGAGTCTGCTAGATTATATGTGCGCTTCTCTAATGTTGAAGGAAAATCTTAATATAGCCTTGGAACAATTACATTCCTGCGGGTTACAACATCCTTATCACTTACTGCATCGTTTAGATTTTGTTTCACCAAAAAATGATAAACAACATTTGAATAATTTTGCTGGACCTCCATCGAAACTTCTGTCAGCTTATATGCGTGGTTGTCTTAGACAGTATATGGAAGATTTATATAATCAACCTAATCGAACTAGTAAGTTGGTTAACTTTAAATAACACTACTACAGTATTTAATTCACTTTTAACAATGTAAATAATGAAACCGTATTATATTAAAGCTGCTGTAATCTTACTATTTCAACAGGTTATAGGGTTATATGGTATAGAAATAAGGACATATGTATGTTTTAATAATTAGGTAGTCGCACTAATTTATTTATCTCATTGGATGCAAACAAATCATTATTATTATATCCTTTGGTTCTTAGGGGAACATAGGGCTTCAGCCGCACGTCACCAGTGTGTTTAGTTCTCCACCAACGTTTTCACCTGGCTCCAAGTCTGCCCACATGCTTTCATCTCCTCTTCACATAACCTCCTCCGTATCACCTTCGCACTGACGACCAGCTAACTCGTCACTTCCCATTCGGGTTCCATGGGAGAGAGAGAGCCTGCTGTGTGATGTCACTTGACGGTTTTCTTAGAGTATGGCCAATCCACCTGCATTTCTTCCTGCATATTTGTTGCACAATTGGTTCCTGCTGGGTTGGTTCGCTCCCAGAGATCCCTGCTGCTGATCCTTCCTGACCGACCATCTGATCTTGAGTATTGAGCGAAGACAGCTGTTGATGAAGGTTTGTAACTTGTTTGAAGTGACCTTCGTGATGGGACGCCACGTCTCTGATCCGTATAGTAGGTAGCACTGACTTCATATTGGAGTTGAAAATCCGGATCTTATTTTTGATATTGAGTGCTGTTGACCCCCACACAGACTTGAGAGTAATGAAAGCTTACTTTGCTTCTCCTGTCCTCGCTTTGATATCATTATCAGTTCCGTCCGCCTGTAGTTCAAATGATGCTTCCCAGGTAGGTAGGTAGGTAAAGGAGGTTGCTTCTTTCAGATTTCTCCCACTTGTGTTGATTGTTGTTACTATTGACCAGGAATATTCATCACTGTTTTCTCTATGTTCACCTAAAGTGAATTCCTATTTTCTCTGAATACTTCTTCTGCCAACTTGTTGCTTTTCACTTGCATATCAGAGATATATCATCGGCGAAGTCCAAATCCTCCAAGTTTTTTGTGTGGGTCCATTATTACTGTCCCCTTGGATTCCGAATGGAACATAGGGGTTCGACAGCACATCTCCACTTTGTCCTATTCTCTGCAGTCCTCTGTAGCTGGCCTCACAGTTGCTCATATTCTGTCATCTCCTCCTCAAACAATCTCTTCCATGTCACCATCAGATACGTCCAAATCGTCGTTTCCCATTCGCATTATAGGTTCAGTCTAAATTTAGTTAATTATAATTTGTAACCTGCGATTACAAAGTACACAATAGTATGTGGATTTTACTAATCTGTTAAAGGATTAAGTTAAAAATAGTTTTATAACAACAAACGAAACTATAAGTCGTTTATTTGGTTATTTGGGTATTTATTAGTCGTACCTGAATTTCGAACGCCATGGTGTAGACACCTATTTCAATCGTGGTAGGTAGGTGCCGTGTTTTCTTAAGTTTGTACATCAAAGACGAGTTAAAGCACTCTTACTTTTCATCATTCAGTTTCTAATAATAATAATAATAATAATAGAAACAGTATTAATAAAAATATAATTACAGTTTTGATCATGGATTAATATCCTTCAGAGAACCATTGAAAACTACCACTCGAGTACTTCCTGGACATCGCTGGTGAGTATTTGTCCTCACTCTCAACCGGTTGGATCCCACTGGTCACGAGTTCTGATGCTCTCCAGTCACTGAATGCAGAACGAAGTTGACTGCAGTTCCAGAGAAAAGTTGTTACCAGTGGGGTCCATTCTGTCAAGAGTGACGATATATACTCGCCAGCGATGACACATTGGCTGATCTTTAAATATTCCCATTTATAATATTAGAACAAGATATATAAGCGAACGATATTGTTGTTTTCAATTACATCTTGATCAGTCTTTACTCTAACTTACATAGACTTAAATATAAAAAATTCTAACCAATGACGGTGATTTTGTGGATCAAATAATAATAATAATGTGGTAAATGTTTTGAACGTAGTTAATAGTGATGATTATAACCACAAAAAATATTGATAATAAGGTTTATGCAGGTGGCGATAAGAATAACTTGTATATATGTGTATATGTAGACAATTCAATAAATGAATAAATTAGGTGGAATCCTAATACTAAAGGTGAACTGGACAGATAATCAGAGTTTAAATAAATATCGTAAAAGTACTCAGGAGATGGAAGATAAGAAAGGATGGGAGTGTTTTGAATAGAATTCACTTAGGCCAAGGGAGAGACGAAAACAGAACAAGCTTCTTTTGTGTGCAAAGACTAGGATTGTTCTCTCGAATTGATTCCCATAGCTTCGGCTAAGTGTAAAAGACGGGTTCGAATTCCGTTCGAAAGGCTCGATGGAATGCGATAGATAACTTTAAAGACACTATTTTTGTCCACTTGGTGACCGCTATCAGCGATCAAATGAGCCAAAATAGAACTTCTTATAGATTTTATTTGACCTTTTCTGAACCATGAAGGAAGATGCTCATTAATGCGTTTGTTAAGCTGTCTAGTTGTTGGGCCCTATATAGCTTTCTCCACAGGAGCAAGTAAATTTATAGATACACATGGAAGTGGCACAGCTAGGTAGCTTATCTTTCACTTGAGCAATCCTAATTGGTCGGCTGGAAAATGACAAACAGAGGGTGGTGGCAGTATATGTCTGTTTTATCGCTGTCGATAATTTCAGATGTAAGACTTCGCTAGCCACGTCCCCATTAGATTGCAATTTCATGAACAGTTGTTTCTTTTCAACTGTTATCAGTTCCTCTTTGTTGTACTTGGTGTTCATGTGTCTCTTTACAAATCTACTAGGATAACCCATTTGGACCAGCTTATTTTGGATGTATCCTAACTCATTTTGTAGGGAATCATCTGTACAGATCCGTCGTGCTCTCTTCATGAGGCATCTGACCAAATTAACTTTGTATCGGATTGGTACAAAACTGAGGAAATGTGTATATTGTCCTACAGATGTAGGTTTTTTATAGACACCTGTCTTGAGTGAAGCATCTAGTCTCTCTTCTGCTCAATTGGACATCAAGGAAATGTAGTCTACCATCATGTTCATCTTCACAAGTGAAGATGAGTGGTGGATGTGCATCATTAAATTTTATCAACATTTCATTCTTGTCAGCTTTCACATCAAGAATAATAAACATATCATCAACATAGCGAAAATAAAAATCAGTTTTATCTATCACTTGTTTCAATGGACTATTTTGAAGCTTAGCAAGAAAGAAATCTTTGATATAAGAATAAAACTTGTGCACTGTGGTAGAGTGTAATTCCATTATGGGTAAATTTTGTTTTGATAAAGTCTCACAGTGTTATACAGTAATGTTTACTGATGACGTTTCGAGCACAATTTATTACTGCTCATAATCATATCAAGGTACTCACACACGAATTCCTAACTTCATTTATATAGTTCCATTATTTTTCACTTGATTTGATTGGTAGTAGTATTTTCCATATTTCAAGTATGAGTGATGAATCATTCTTATTGCATGTGTTGGGTGTAGACTCGATGAACAAGGATTCAGTAATCAACCTCTCTCGCTCTCCACCTACCTAGATTACTTTTTAGAATTATGCTATAATATTAATATTATGCCCCATTAGAAATCGTTCAAACTCTAGACTAACTAACCAATTCATATGAGATGAAAAATAAACTAAATGACATTCAACTAGAAAATGATGACACAATGGTTAGTTGTGATGTAACTAGTCTTTATACTAATATACCAGTCAATATGGCCTTAGAAGCAGTTAAAAAAGAACTAACTGCAGATCCTGAACTCAATCATAGGACAAAGCTGCCCATTGAACAAATTATTTTAGGGATTCAGTTATGCTGTCTCACATCTACTATCTTTAAATTCCAAGGTGCAATATATAGACAAACAGAAGGTGTAGCAATGGGATCACCAATATCCCCTATCGTAGCAAACATATTTATGGACAGCTGGGAAAATAGTGCCCTCAATACATTTAACCCTACTCCGAAAATATGGTGGAGATATGTGGATGACACTTTCACAGTGTTAAAAACAGAACACATCTCTAGCTTCTTGACACATATAAACTCACAAGTTGAGGGAATAAAATTCACATTTGAATCAGAAAATGAACAAGGAGAATTAGCTATGTTAGATTGTAAGATAAAAAGAATAGAAGAAGGCAAACTACACACTAGTGTTTATAGAAAACCAACGCATTCTAATAGATATTTAGACTTTAATTCGTCTCATCCTTTAACTGTTAAGGCAGGCTTAGTAAAGTGTGTAACAAATCGAGCCATAGCACTAAGTAGCACAAAAAAAGATCTAAATGATGAATTAAAACAGATAGAAGAAGCGTTGGTGTTGAATAACTATCCTATAAAATTCATTAGGAAGATCATTAAAGGCCAAACGAAAAATAAAAATAATTGTGAAACTAGTAATAATAACATAAATAAGAGAGAATATAAGTCATCCACAGTTATACCATATAAAGAGGGGACATCTGAGACACTACGTAGGATTCTGAATAAAATAGGAATTAGGGTGGCATTTAAACCTACAAACTCACTCAGGGACAAGCTCTGTAGGTTAAAGGACCCAGTTGACCCAATTAGACAAAATAATATAATTTACAAAATACCCTGTAATGACTGTGAGGTCAACTACATAGGTCAAACTAGTAGGTCAGGGATAGTCAGATTGTCGGAACATAAGAATTTAGCTGGGGTGAGAATGGTTGACCCCGAGAAGATAAGTAATTTAGAAAAAAGCTCAGCACTACATTGCACTGCATGCATTAACACACAACCACACAATAGGGTGGGATAGGGTTAAAATTCTAAAAAGTAATCTAGGTAAGTGGAGAGCGAGAGAGGTTGATTACTGAATCCTTGTTCATCGAGTCTACACCCAACACATGCAATAAGAATGATTCATCACTCATACTTGAAATATGGAAAATACTACTACCAATCAAATCAAGTGAAAAATAATGGAACTATATAAATGAAGTTAGGAATTCGTGTGTGAGTACCTTGATATGATTATGAGCAGTAATAAATTGTGCTCGAAACGTCATCAGTAAACATTACTGTATAACACTGTGAGACTTTATCAAAACAAAATTTACCCATAATGGAAGGAAGAAATCTGCGAAAATTGGCCCCAATGGAGAACCCATGGCAATACCGTCGATTTGCTTGTAATAACGTTTCAATTTATTTTTTTTGTTATTTTTTCTACATATACTGACAAAAGTATGCCTAAAATATTTCTCTCCTTTATGTGTTTATCTAATAGTAAATCCAACTGAATGCTTCATTGATGCTTTTAAACGCATTGATGATGATTTATGCTCAGTGAATTTTCCAAATATCCTTTTTGATGGTCAAACCACCACCACACTGTTACCCTTTTCCTCGGATGAAAGCGCAAACAACTCTCTGAATACCTCATTAGCCCGTGATTTAATGCGTGTTAATTTAAGCGGATCTGTTGGCATAGCTGGTTATCTACACTGGCATGATAAGTTGAGTAATCGTCCTACTGAATTATATCTAGCTAATACTGGTGATTGTGGTGCTGTTCTACTCAGAGAAGTACAATCATCGTCGTCGTCATCATCATCATCATCAAATGTTGAAATGGATAAAGGAAAAGGTAAGATAAATGTATATGTCATCATCGTCTTACAACTGAGAGATGATAAAGTTGACAGTCACCTTATCAATAATCCTCATTTTCTTAACCTTTTTTTATCTCACGGTCTCTAGACAACTTCTATTGGTACTACACTTGTATAAACTCTAGCATCAGTCTCCTTAATGGCAAAGTGGTTATGAAATGGGCTATGTGACATTTATTTATATATACCCGGGGAATTCAATTTTCAGCAATCACTACATCAGTTAGTTTTTCGTGGTGTACTAGGAATCAGCTCAACAGGTACATCAAGATTTTGAAGAGTGACACAAAAAATATTCGACGCAGCAATGTATCAACGACAGTTGCATCCTACTCACTACAGGAGTACTTCACACATCCTAGTTGTCCAAAGAATGATCCGTGAGAGCGATCATGTGCGAGTTACACTAGATGAGAATGTTGTGAATGATAGCTACAGTCACTTGCATATGAACAGATTCAAAAATGATGATTCGGTTCTATTGAACAGCACAGGACAACAACAATACGAGTCAGACACATATAGACATCTCTCACCCGAACCGCAGACCAGTCCGGGAGGTGTTACCTCATTCACCTATCTAGGGAGCATTGTCTCAACTACAGGAGGAACGGATGAGGATGTCAAATTGACAATCAGGAAGGCGAAAAACACATTCATCAACCTGAAACCAATCTGGAAATCTTCGTCACTCAGCATCAACAACAAAATTCAGTCGGATTTTCAATACAAACGTCAAATCAATCAGCTCTTCTATACTGATCAGAAACTTGGCGGGAAGGTCACGAAGAATATTTCCAACAGGCTAACTCAGACCTACCTTTATCAACCAACAACTGTCTTCGCTGGATCTATACTGAAGATCAGATGGCCGGAAAGAATCACCAACAAGAAACTATGGGAACAAACAAAACAAGAACCGATCGCCAACCAACAAATATGCAGGAGAAAGTGGAGATGGATTGGACACTCGTTGAGGAGGCCGGTTGGTGACATCGCGCGTCAGGCCATTGCTCAACTGGAACCCGAAAGGGAAGAGGCGAGTGGGATGTCAGTGCAGGGGTAACATGGACAAAATCGTGTGAAGAGGAGTTGAAACAGTATGGACTAACATGGATGCAGGTGAAAAGTACAGCAGCAGAAGACAGAAGCAAGTGGAAACGTGTAGTTGAAGCTCTATGTTCCACTAGGAACCCAACGGATTAATAATAATAATCTTGGTAATAGACATACTGTATCTAGGAATAACGGTCACCGTAGAAGTAGTAGGTAAAGGAATTTTCAGTTTTTCTTTAGTCATCTACCTTTATTCCATTATGGAGAAAGTTTATTTCATAAAGCCTCACCATGTTACGCAGTTATATTTACTGATGACCACGTTTCGAGTACAGTTTGTTGTTGACCAAACCTCAGTACACGGATACACAAAGCTTGCGTGCTATTTACCAACCAGCATCATCTCTGGCACAGGCGTGATATCCAGCTGGCTATTGATGTGTGCACTACTCATCGGTTCGCTCCGTTCTCCTTTATAGCTGACTGTGAGTGAGACATGGTTATTGAAAGTGGAAAACAGAAAAGCTAACTATCTTTCATCGTGGTTGTCTGCGTTCTATCTCCCATGAGTGTTAGGTGATATAATAGAGTGAGCAATATTGACGTTAGGCTTCCGTCGATTGGAAGTGTTAATCAATAGACGAGGTTATGGATTTACACTGAGTAAGACAGTTAGCACATGTGTTACACATCCAGGCCTAGCCATTGATCTCCTAATAATAATAATAATAATTTACTTTATTCCCAAAACAGTACTTGTGATACAGATTGGAATTTTCAGCATTAATCACAATATTGCATCTAATTTCCTCAAATTATAAATAAAAATTAATCACACAGAAAATTTTCCACATTTACAATAGAGGTAGTGTCAAAAACATGCAGCATATAAAATGGAAATATTAATAATGATAACAGCTAGGGTAATAATAATAATAATACAAGTGAAAATTGCGGTGGGCTTGTTTCACACAGTATTGGCAATGTGGTATAGAAATCCTAACATGTTTAAAAATATTGAATATAATGTTGATGAGGGGAAAAGCAAAGATTACAGCAGTCATGGAGATAAGTTGGTGTTTGCAATTATGAGAGTAAAACAGAGAAGTAACAGGACCATAAATATAATAGAAATAATAAAATTAAAACTTGAAGGTATATAAGAATGGGTGGAGGAAATTGTTTATTTACTAGGTGAAAAAAGGTTAGTTAGTTCTCGTCTGACACTATTTTCATCACATAAAATACGTGCCAAGTATGGTATCATAGAACTTCTATACTTAGACGTGTGAGCATACAGTTTTCTGAAGTTACTTCTTGTTCTACCTGAGGAGATGCAAGGTGAAAGCTGAGGGTAAATAAATGGAGGCTCCAAGTCAGACAAGATCCCTTTAGCAAATTTATTGCACGAATTCATGTGCCTATCGACAACAACGTTAACTATGTGGTCCACTGGGACACCACTCATTTCACTGACAGTCTTCAGTATTCTACGAATTGTGACATAGTCCTTTTTAAGCAAACCAAGAAAGAATAAGGGTGAGAATAAAGAAGAATAGATAGGATGCAAGAGTTTATGAACTGTAAGAGGAGGGGTTGTAGTATACCCGAGTGCCTTAACTTCTTAATATAAAATGTCAGGCGGAATATTTTACCGGAGATCGCTAAGATATGGGAAGTCCAGGAGAGATCAGAAGATGTTAGCTGACATGGGATCAATGAAGTTGGAAAAGAGCTAGTGGTGTTCAAACCAAAACATGGCTTTATCAATCGATGAAATTCACAACAGTTAGTTTAAGCCAGTCACGTAGGGAGGTGTAGACTAGCTGGCTGAATGGTGTCTGTGGTATGGTAAGAACCAATGACGGTTGGAGACAATTGGTGGTATGGCTCAAAATCGTTGTCAACGACGGCACAGATGCATTCACTCCTTGTGATTTATAATATACAATAAAAATCGTTCTCAATGGTGCAGATGGATTCACTCATTGTAATCTAACAGACTGGTTATATCCTCATGTTTTTCCATGTTACTATTTATTTCTCCCCTGTACATTTCTCCTCATTATAATTCTTTTGAGTTTTTGTTTTTCTTGTCTTCATGTGCATGCCCTTATGGTCTGTGGAAACTTGAACTGCGCTGGACTTCTGTGCAAAGTTCGATGTTGAAACTCTCATCGGCTAAAATCTACAGCGGTCAGAGATCCATTCGTCAGTTTAAATGATTAATAATAATGATTGATGAGTAAATTCTCCTGTAGAGTAGGTAACTCAGATTAAACAGCACTAAATAAATCTTCCTGAGAAGCATGGAAACACCTCTTGATTCAACTTCAGTTACTTCATATAACTGAACAAAAAAATCAATAGGAAATCAGAGAAAAATTAGAGTAGTCAAAGGTAAAAAGCATCATGATTTAAGCAATATATAATCTAAAAGACTGATTGATGAACAAAGAATATTCAGTTTTCAATAAATTCCTCTTCATCAGGATCTACATTTATATGACAGTCATAATCATTCCTTTATGTTCCCAGTGGAATATAAGGCGGCTTCAAACTAGGGGCTTGGAGTTTCAGTAGCAGTGGTGGTGTTTATTTTTTACGAGATGGAGTTGCTAGCCTCATGCTTAACTTTGCCTCTTTACCAGTCTTATTACTGGCTTAGCGAAGTAAAGGAGTGCGTCCAGTGGTTGGGGATCGAACCCCGGACCATATGAGGCGTGGTTCTACCGCTGTGCCATTGACGCATAATCCTGTTTTAAATCACAATAAATCGATATTATCAATAGGTGGTTACATTTGAAAAGCATCAGTACGAGAGAAAGATAGGTCATATGCATTAATATATAACACTAAACTGACTGAATACCAGATAAGTTTAGGGAATACACAGAATTTGTGGATTTATAGGCTTGACAGCAGGCCAGTAGGGTAGCAGTAGTGACTGGTTGCACCTGCTTCTTTTTCACTCAGAACTGCAGTTGTTTTAGGTCAATTGCATTGGTCTCTGCTGCTGGGAGTGTTCATCATCTAAAGGTCTTTGGTAATTCATTCGATACCCAGTAGATGATAGAAAAAATTCTTCGATGCCTAGCTCTATGTTCTATTTGCACGAGATGGTGTTCGAATATAGAACTGTTGACGGTTATGACAACACCTTTATTTAACCACAATGATAGGTGCTCCCGAGAGGAAATGAAGAAATAGGTTCCTAGAGCAACTGATGGTCAATATAACTAGCTCCATAGGAGCAGTTGATAGATAAAATTAGAGGTCGCTAGCTAACCTAGGTACTTTATCTTTCAGTTTCTGAACCGCAACCACTTGTGTGGCAGGTATAAGTTGCGGCTTACTGACATTATAAACGTTCTTTGGGCCGATTTTCTCAACTTTTTTGGTTATTATTTCACTTGGTATATCATATCCCCCTTTGAATTGTAGTCGTTTAGATAAAGGCTTTGTTCTAAACAGATACAGAATTGGTTACAGGATTTCATCATGAGTACTGGACAGTTGTTTCGTCCTAGTTTGGGACTCTTCAGCAATTCGCACCCACCGGGGTTCGAACCCCAGGACCTTCCGGTTACAAGGCGAGCCAGCTCGTGGACCATTAAGCCACTGGGATCCGATCCAAGGCCAGCCCATGAATTCTAATTTCTGCCAATTCACGATATAGCGCAACCGATAGCCAATGTCTTCGGCGGGTATTTCTCCTCACACCCGATCTGCTGCACCCTAATGGTCACGACTTCCCACTAGAACCCCAGGTAACTACCTACCTGAATAGGACCCAGTCGACAGTGAGCATCTCATTGATATTCAAGTATTGGTTTGTAGGGATTTGGTTGATTGGTTACAGGATTTCATCGTGAGCTGACATTGGTTAGAGAATCATGATGAAATCCTGTAACCAATCAACTAAAACCATACAAATCAATACTTGAAGATACAGAATTGTTTTCCATTTTTTTGACTATGTTTCAGTGTGATTTGTTGTCATTCTATTATTTATCTCCTCTTTTTTTAATCGATTGATTCCAGGTGATAAAGTATTGCTCACTCCAATCAAATGTACTAAATCACATAATGGCAATTGTAACCCTGATGAGATAAATCGTATAGCTAAAGAGCATCCAGAAAATTCAATTTCAGAATTATTCAGAGAAGATGGACGTTTATTGGGAGAATTAGCACCGTGTAGATCATTTGGTGATGTTCGATATAAATGGCCTTTAGAACGTTTACTTAGATTAACACGATTTTTTGAAATGGTTTCATTAACATTTAGTCGTGAATGGTTACCGTTGCCACGTCCGTATACTAGTCCACCGTATTTAACTGCTCTACCAGAAGTAACACGAATTGAGGTGAGTTGTGTTAATTCTTTTTTTAATGGAATTGTGTTTTCAAGTATTGATTTTGTAGGGACTTTTTTGTTTGATTGTATGGAGGATTCCATCATGAGCTGACATCAAGTAGAGAAACTTGGGAGTACTGGACAGCTGTTTCCTCTGTCCTAGTTTGGGGCTCTTCAGCAGTACGCACCCAGCACCTTCTGGTTACAAGGCCAGCGAGCTCGTAGATCATTGAGCCACTGGGACCCAATCCAATGGTTCTTGAATTCTAACTTCTGCCAGTTCACGACATAGCATGGAGGATTTCATCATGAGCTGACTTCAGTTTTCGTCTTCACTGCCACTTTTTCCCCCCTCATCCTGTGTATGCAGAAGTTGCACTGAAATTAGCTTAAGCACTGAAGTATATAAGTTATTAGTAACTAACATCTGTGTTAAAATTATCCAAGTGTTGGTTTTCGGTGATTCGATTGGTTGCAAGTGTGATCACCAGTGTTGACATCAGTTAGAAAACCATTGGAAACCAGCACTCGCGTATTGGACAGCCATTTTGTCAGCCTAATTTCGGACTCCTCGCCAGTACATACGCACCCACGCACGCACGACCTTCCGGTCACAAGGTTGGTGAACTCGTATACTATTCAACCACTGTGTCCCGACTCCTCAGTAGCCAGCCTATGAATTCCAACTTCTACTGACGCTTGATTTTAGCGCGACTGGCACCAGCTAATGTCATCACTGGTGAGTATTTGTCCTCACTGCTGATCGAAACCCCACTGATCACGACTTCTCACTAAGACTCCAGGCTGAATGGTGTACAAGCTTGGCTTATAAATGCGATGACCCTGGGTTCGAACCCTGGCAGAAGTTGGATGATCTAGATATTCAGTTATAGATATGATAGAGAAGATTTGTAGCTCAGGTGGATGATTTTGATGTGGTTGTGTTCTCTGAGCTGGATAGTTAATTTGTGTTATGTACTCGTCGCTGAATTATTGTTATGGACTGGTCGAGAAACTAATAGTCCTGACGCGAGAAGGCGGAAATCAGAAGACCACTAGGTTTGCGATGATACTTCTATTGTCCAAACACAAGGAGACGAAAATAAAATGGTCTCACACCAAAGTGGTAAGTAAGTAAAGTAGTTGTAAAGTAAAGTAGTTCACACAAATTGTAATGCGAATATATATATAAATAATTCAGACAAGCGTGGGAAGAATCATTAGACAGTCTTAACATGAATGGCTAATTATAATGGAGTGTCGATCCAATTATACATAGCGAATATAGCAGACATGCCAACAAACATATATGGATATATGTCACCAAGCAACGGACTGTCAACAAACACTCATATTATATATAATATAATATAAGGAGAATACACATTATTAAAGGAGACAAGTCCATACAAGTGAAGTGGTCACAGACTAACCGAGCAAACAGAAAGAGAGACCAACATGCACACACACACATAAATATATATATGTGGATACATATCAATTTGCGAAGCTTTCATCACCCTACTAAGCGACATCTTCAGCGCATACTTCAATTTGAAGTGGGTAGATTGTATATATGTGGTAGGAACAGAGAGGTGAAAATAACTATTGTGGCTCCAGTTGTAATTACCTGCATTACACTTAACCGCTGGAGGCGTACAAACTGTGTACAGAATGTTAAAAGCTAACTTCTTTTCATTATTGTTACGTGTACACTGAATGTGTCAGTATAGAGACATCTTGATAGATCCTACTACTGGTTTCCTAGACCAGGTCGGACGAGTTTTATGGGGGTGACAGTAGGCGCTTGATAAGTAGACGTTTTACCCATGTAACTGCCTCATAAGAGCAGCTAAATGTATAAAGGCATATTAAAGGGTTTATACTCGGTAACTGGTTCTTCAACTATATTGGAATTATACAACAGTTAATGAATTTTAGACATAATGTTGCTGTAAAGAAGTTTTTGTGCCCTTGACGTTTCGAAATCTCGATGCCAATAACTCGACAGCTGCATCTTTCTCCTGTATTGTATGCAAACACCTCTACTGTTCTCATCATCAGAAACCTTTATTAACTTTTCTAGATGTTCCTTGTCATGTAATGAGTTCTGTATAGATTTGCTTAGCTGTCTGTCTGTTTTCGACGTATAACTTGGCACAGATGTGCATAAGTTCAAGTCGCCACACTCCTTCCTTGTAGCACACAAAGAAAGAGAAGAAATTAGAAGAAATGCATAATAGAGACAGTGAACAGAGCTGTGAGACAAAGGAAATAGTAATAACGAAGAACAACATAGTTTCATTGGAAATCATAAGTCACAAGGAATGGATTGATCTGCGCCGGCCATTAAGAACGACTTTGAGACATGTCACCAATAGTTTCCAACCATTGGTTTTTACCGTCCCGAGGACGCCAAAGAGTCAGGAAGTCTACACCTTCCTACATGGCTGGCTTAGACTAACTGTTGTAGATTTCATTGACTGGTGAGGCCATGTTTTGGTTTGACCGCCGCTAGCTCTTTTCCAGCCTGACCTTATTCAACTAACGTTGCCCGTCGAGGAAGGCGATAGCTAGGCGACCCATGTGTAACATATGTCCTAACCATCTTAGTCGATGTAATTTCACAGCCTCGTCGATTGATTTCCCCTCCCACCTACCTAGCACTCGACGCCTAACCTCAATGTTGCTCACCCTATTATACCATTTCACACGGGAGATAGAACACAGGCATCTATGATCAATAACAACTAGCCTTTTCATATCTTCCACTCTCAGTGGCCATATCTTATTCACAGCCATAAAGGAGGACGGAGCGGACTGCTGAGCAGTACGCCAGAGACGGCCTAGTTCGAAACAATCAATCCCGTGTGTATTCAAGAGGGGTAAACGGTTTCCTATGGGTTTTACTGACCTGACCACCGACTCGTTTAATTATAATCAGTGGATCGATTAACTTTCAAATGCTCTGGGAGATTAGGGTATTCGTGGAAAATGCGCATCAGGACATTTAGGAGAAAAGAAGACGAAGAAGTTTACATTGATACGATTATTATTTAGTTCCACATAATAACGAACGAGATTAAATCGCAAAAATTATTTTTGACTTGAAAGTCCGAAGGTGTGAATATCGATTACAAGGGGCTTAAAAACAAAATTACACAGGATTAGAAAATAAGGAGCGCAATAACAAAAAGAGACGAAGACTCAGGAGTCAAACCGAACTATCGGTCCATGGTAAATATAGTGGTTGAACTAGTTTCTTTTGAACAGATAGCTGCGACTTTTCTATACATATGGCGAGGGCTTCTGCAGTAGTACAAAGAGGTTTTTGGTAGACTTAGAATAATGAATGAATTGAGATGTTGTAACAGCTGCTGACAAGGTTTTGAATTATGGCGCTTCTGATTCAACCAGTACCTCCTGTTTACAGCCATGGTTGTTAATGTTCTTTAACACATCTTGAAAGGACCCGCATAGAACAACCTATGTGCCTGGCTCCGGACGAGTAGATGAGCCGATACATCTACATTGTAGTGGTCACATTTGAATGTTTACGCAAAAACCCATAACATACATTTTAGGTGGTTTTGATTTTATAGCCTGAAGACATTTCCATAATTCGAGGAAATATTATGTGGTTTCATAGTAAAATCTTCAATGCTGTAGGAAACAAGAGGTTTCGTGTGCATTTCGGATTGTCAGGGTGATTGTTACTTCCTGGCTGCCCACACCGTGGAAGTTGGTTACTGCCCTTGTGACATGGCAGCAGGAAGCGCGGTCGTTGTTAATCCGGGCCACGGCCGATCCGGGATGATATTTTGTGAGTTTGTATGTATCATAGTGTTGGATTGGGTAGCTGCTTTTTGTTTAACAGCTATCCAAACAACCTTTCTGGCATGGTAGGACCTCAAGAGACATAATACTCAGCCTGTATAGCTTGTTGGTACATTATGGTGTTCAAGCCCGACCACCACGTCAAAGTAGCAACTTTCGGTCGGGCTGTAGGAAACAGCTTTTTCTTTAATTTTATCTCTATGATGTCTCCGTAGCTTATACTCGTCAGTTGGAGATTACATTTGCTTTTAAATGTAACTGTGTAACGACAGAAGACAAGGGTCAATCAACAGATCGTTTATTGAGAAAATTGAGAGATATTTATGTATTTTTATGTACATTATTATAGATTATTGTTAGCAGAGAAACAGCGTCTTCTGATTGGTTGTTCTCTCGCTAAAAGTTAATCTGCCATCTCTTTGTGGCCATTTCTTTGAAGATCAGACTATATATCTGCGAATCGGGTCCGCCCACGCAAAGTCTGTTGTGATTGATTGTTAAGTTAGTCGTTGTCCTTGTTATTTCATGACCAAGATTTGGAATGTAAACATTGACGTAAATTGCTGTCTACCAATTTGGGTGGCCGACAGCCCTCACGACGACTGTTCCCATCTCAGTCACAAATGATTGTTTCAAGGGTAAAAAGGCTATTTGCTAACTGGTTCATTCGTTTTCCAGTGAATATATATAGTGTAATCATATGCGGTTAAGTGTCTGCAACCGTTGTTAGTGTGTAGAATTGAGTCGATCACGGTGTAGGCAATGAAATTATCGTCTCCTATAGCTACTTTTAGATCATTTATCTATCAGCTAGAGAAAGAGAGTAGCTTTAGAATCAACAAAATGTATTCGGTATTCAGTACTGACAGTATGTTTTGAGCAACTTACTTCACTTATGGTTAAGTGGGCCATCCTGTGGCTCGTTATGATACAATAATTGTTGAAATCATGCATGCTGACAAGGTTGTCGTTATCTGCATTAAATAAAGTATTGATTAGGAGGTCTTTCATCCACTAATATAGTTTGAAAGACAACAAATTGAACAATTTTTGTTCGTAAATTAAATTCACAAACTGGTTAGCAATTTCGCGATCATTCAATAATTCCCATTGTAGCAATTTATTTTATTCCGTCACATTCCCAGTGGAAAACAGGGCTTCACACTGGTGGCTTGAAGTTTCTGTAGCAGTGGTGTTAACTTTTACAGGATGGGGTTGCTAGCCCCATGCCCAACCTTTCCTCTTTACTAGTCTTATTACTGCCTTAGCGAGGTAAAGGAGTTCGTCCAGTGGCTGGGGACCGAACGCCGGACCACACATGAGGCGCGGTCGGCGAGCATCCTACCACTGTGTCACCGACGCACAATGTAGCATTAAGAACACGATATTCAGTGAAGAGACTTTCCAACAACGAATTTATTATATATATATATATATGGCTTTTTTAAGAAATTTTATCAGGTAGAATTAGGTCAAAGGTGTGAATACATGAAATAATAATAATAATAGTAGTATGGAATGCAATTAAAATATTTGTGATTATAATCATGGGTAAATGTCAACTGGCAAAGCAGATTAATGTCATATATAGAATAATTCATAGGATGTATAGATGTTGGAAAGGGGTGCATAATTATAGGATTAGTAGGCAAATATAAAATTGTTACATAATATGGTGTGAAATTTGATAAGATAGAATTCAATATTGTAAAAATAAAAATTAATAATTTTGGGTTTAGAATGAAAGGTGGGACAAGTGGAAACAATTCAGATTAAGAATAGTAATAATAGTACTCGTAGTAGTAAGGGAAAGGTACATAAATTGATTAAATAAACAAAATAAATAAATAAATGTCGTTCCCTCTACGGCCAAGGCAGACGTAGGGATTGTACATAATTCTTGTGTACACAAAGGTCTAGCTTAAATTCATGAATGAATGGCCAAATTTTCTGCTGTCTTTAGAGTTTTATGTCGAAGAAAACGCGGTCGGAGAGTTAACATAGATTCGGTAGATGATCTTAAAATCATGGTCAAGGTTGGTAGAGTGACAGGATTCGATCAGGTGTTCTAGAATAGAGCTTCTCACACTCTTCCTTTCTCCTTTGTAAAACCATGCTGCTGGAATATGTTCTCGTATCCGTTTGGAAAGCGTCCTCTGGCTACGGCTAATGTACCTTGCTCCACAAGAGCAGGTAAACTGATAGATGCACATGGAAGCGGCCAGACTGGGGAGCTTATCTTTTACAGAGATGAAGAACAACATGCGGTTGGTGAATGTCATTTGTAATTTTGCTGCAAAGAATAGCTTACTGACTGTTATAGAGAGACGGTTTTGAGCATATCTGAAGCTTGATCACCTTTGAATTCCAAGTTCATGAATAAGGTTTTCTTTGAAACTGAGTTGGTGACAAGTTTAAACTGCTTATCTTTCATGTTAGTGTCAATAAATCGGTTCGGGTAACCGTTTTCTGCGAGTGTGGCTTTTAGGGAAGTAGAGTTCTAAGTCAACACAATCAGAACTACAAATGCTTCTTATCCTAAAGCAGAGCAGTGAATTTCGCAATCTACACTATTTCACCGTAGTTACTTTTGGAAATCAAGTTATACAGATCACCACCACAATGTATGTGTAATCTGCCTGCTTGCTACCATAAATATGGTAATCAGGAAAGCAAGCCGTTGATGAGCTCTCCTGGAACGAGCGAAATGGCCTTCCGGTGTTCAGATCACTTTGGTCACATATTGGGGGTGAAATATCACCTCCTCACAGTTTGCTAACTGTGAATTTGATCAGTTCGACCAGGCAGCTAGCCAGAAATCGGGTATAGTTCGAATTGACTGCGCTCTCTGAGCTGAGTGTTGTCAAACCGGGTACACACCGATGATGAATTAGGTCTCAAACGACCGAAACAGTCGTCTGGTGTTTTGATCACCTGGTAAGCAACTACTCATTTCAGTCAATTAGTAGTAGTATATAGTTCTGTGCAAATTTTTTCTCTGCTTAACAGTTTTCATTGCTTCTCCTTTCTTATGTGCGCATTTTTCAATACAGATTACACCCGAAGATCGTTATCTTATACTGGCTACCGATGGTCTATGGGATATGTTAACTGTAGAACAAATCGCTGCCCAACTAACTGATATACTCGAGTTGAAAAATCAACAAGAATTCTATTGTCCAGCAACACAACTTCTTTGGTCTACACTAACCAATGTACCTGTACAAATGTCTAGAGCAATTCTACCGGTTTAAATGATAAAGATCCTTTATTCGAGCATTTACTCAAAACACCGAATGTGATTAGTAAACGAGTACATCGTAAGGCGATTACACGTGCACTGAAGTTATTATCTTTACCGCCTGGTTTAGCACGTTACAACCGTGATGATATAACTGTACTAGTCTTTGAATTCGTTTGATAATTTCAATCTATTATTTTTTGTTGTCGTTATTGATTAGTGGTGTTGTTGTTCCTCTAGATGTCGGGTTCAAACTTCACTCCACTCCACTTATTGATATACTTCAGTCGGGGTCACTGGGTTAGCATTTTCATACATACACACACAATCTAACTCACAGCCTGTTGAATTAAAAGTTTGTTTCACGGCAGCTGATTTCTTCCAATAACATTTTTTTGCTATCTTTCTTCCCGCGTTATTGTGTATTCATTTTGCTATGGGCTGAATAGCCGCCTTACATAGTAGGTAGTCTATCTGTACCTTCTGTGAAGATTTTTCAGGTTGTACAAGAGAGAGAGGAAGGTTTTCTACTTTCTCTGTCTGTCTCCCTCGTCGTCCTGTATTATGTAGACTAGGCTTTTATTGTCCAATGTTTTTCTAAGAGATTTTTGCTTTTCTTTTGTGTTTTATATAGTACGATGTTCAATTTATTGCACATATCTGGATATATTTTAGACGATTAATAGTTTTATTTTATAATCGTATTAATTCCTAATTACAATTGACACTGACTTAATACTTTGCTCGGGAGAAGTTGTTCATCTCAGTTCTTTAGTGTTGCTGCTGTGTACGAATTGTGCAAGAGAGTTATCCTGACATTTTTGATTTTGTTATTTAGTTGTAATTATTACTTTTTGCCTTTATTTAGATATGCTTAAGAGTTTACCCTTATTTGCTGTCTTGTCGTCATCACTTCATCTAGTCGCTTACTATTATTATTATTGTAAAGAATACTGCCGTCTTCTCAAGCTGCATTTATTCTAAATAAATTACTTTTTGTGAAGAAGCATAAAGATTTCTCATAGTGTCTCAGGAATTGATTGATTCCTCTATAGACTGATTGATTGTGTGTTATTTCTCGATGGGGCCCCCAAAGACCTGGTACTGCCGAGGATTTTACTCTCGAAATGCTCTCATGTGGTTACGCGTCATAGACTCTGCCAGATAAGTCCTATCCATCGCCTTCATGCGACGGGAACTGTTCCTCACAAAAATGAAAGGGCAAATGCAAACATCTGACGCTTGTAACCGAGCTGATTCCAGGCCTGTTGTTTACATAGATCTAGAATCTGAATAGGGTGTATGTCGCATGAACCTTTATTGATCAGCGGCGATCATGGGAACACAGCTCAGTTGTCCTGTGGATCAGACTACGAGGTGAAAACTCGCGGGGAGGGGTTGAGGTTGTTCCCTTAAGACAACCACCTGCTTCATTGATATAAGTATAAAACTTTGGCACTGTGTTAGAGTATAACTCCATTATGGATAAGATTTCATTTTGGTAAATCACACAGTGTAGTACAGTAACATTAACTGGTGACGTTTCGAGCACAAACTATTGCTCACCTGCTTCGGTCTGGGAGCCCGGACAGTAAACCCAGTCCTGACACAAACAACGGTCCATGAGATTGTAACTGCGCGCCTACTGTTACGAACTACAGTCAGATGTCTAGCAACATGTTCCCTATTGACCATAGTGTTATACATAAGGCTTTGTGTTTTATTTGTACTATTCTTGATGTCCTTGCATGAATTCTCAGCCTTTCTGTGCCGTTTTAAGTTGCCTTCAAAGTGCTGATCTACAGTGCGACATCCAACACAGATTCACTGGAAGTGCGTGTTGCATTCAAGCTTGCCATCTGCAATGGCTCGCACACTGATGCAAGTCGAAGAGCAGCCACGTTTGGTCAGAATACCAGAAAGCCTCGCTACTGATGTCTGTTGCATTTCGGAAACGCGTATTCACGATCCCAGTGAAATACTTTGAATATCTTTTCTTCCAACTAGAAGTTAAAATGGTGTGTACCACCTGCTCTTGTCCTGGAAGCTTACAGTACGGCATCCGGCGTGGCTGGTGTCGCACCAAGCGGTAAAGCCGTTTATGTACACTGTCAGGTTATACGAGAGTAAGAAACTATCGCTCTGGTAGGCAGTGCCTATTTGTTGTTTTCGCCTATGTACTGTCAGATTGCAGCATGGATGCAATTAAGGGTGAGTTTTAAAAACAACTGAATGAGCTTCTGAAGCAGGCATGTTAAAGAGATATTGTAGTGCTAGCTGGGGCGTCTAAACTCAGATGAGTTGTCTCAGTGGGGTCTACATATTGCAGGTCAGATAGCAGGGACCCTCTCCTACAGCTTTGAGCAGATCATGGACTATCTCAAGCTAGCATCAACTCCCGACACAGCCGTCGCCGTATCGCCACCTGGCGTCCTCCCTCTGTCAATCCAGCCTGGACTCAGATTCGTCACATTTCCGTGAGTTTCCGATGGCGTGGATGCATACAGGACTGCCGGTCCTTCTGGAGCTTATGTCTGCACTCCAACCATACTTTAGTTTGTGCCAGGTTTATTTTGCAGTTCGGTGGTGCTCATGAACTGCGTCCTCTACAAGTAAACTGGTAGCACCGGCTACCTCCGTGCAGTACCAGATTGGGTCCAAATCAAGACTAGATAACAACCCTCCAAATAGTATAGATGAACATTACCTACACCTGCAATGTGTTAGGCAGATAGCGAGTGAAGCCGCTTGCGGCCTAAAAGAATGCTCCGCTAAAAACTACTGTTTTTGCAACTCCCTTGTAAATTCATCCCAGAAGACATCGACCAAAACATGCGAAAGGCGCTTAGACACAGGATGAAACGGTGTTTACGACAGGACCGCGAAGCCTGACGGTCAGGACATGTGTGTGAGATGGAATTAGCAGCTGCATTTGGCAATAGCCGGAAGTTGTTCCAGTTCACCTGGGCCACCGGCATAAAGAAGCATCGTGTCACCTAGACGTTTAGTGATACAGATGGTACGCCAGTTACCAACCTGAAAAGACGCGCGTGGAACGGTGGGCGGAGCACTTTGAGAAGAAGTTTAGCTGGCCATCATTCAACGTCGTCAACTACAGTGCTCCACGGTTATTCAATACCAATCCACCAAAGGAAAAGGAATTCCAAGTGTTGAAACAGTAGCAGGCATCCGGCCCTTTTTAAGGATGGCGGCGAGATTCTCGTCAGTGCTTTAACTGGATTACTCAGAAAAGTATAGGTAAATCAGAATGTTCCATAAATGTTAAATGAAGTCATTATCGTGTCCGTCTTTAAAATGAGACGACATAATACATGCGACAGTCGTAGGGGTATTAGTCTGCAATCAGTCACATCAAAAATATTATAGCTGCTGTCTTGCTTCGCAGGCTGTGTTTTGTTCAGACCATGGATGTATTGATCATGTGTTCACCCTTCATCAATTGCCGGAACACCATCACACATAGTATTGCAGTCCAACAGTCGTTATATGTTCCATATTAGAGCCACCTTCGATTCGTTCGACAGAACCGGTCTCTGGAACTGTCTGTCGGAGACACACCGAGAGGTGTACCTGAGAATTTTGTTAACATCCTGACAGCCCCATAAAAATACACTTCAGATAGAGTGACGGCATACAACTAGGTATCACCACCATTTTGATGTGGTTGTGTTCTCTCAGTTGGATAGATAATTTGCGAAGCTTTCATCACCCTATTAGGTGACATCTTCGGCGCATACTTGAATTTGAATTGAAGTGAGCTTTCACACTTCTCCACGAGTTTATTGGTCATCTCTCCTGGTGACCTTGAACGTGATTGGTTGTTTCCGTGTGCTTCTACACTTTCTAGGCTATTTGTATTGAAACTGATCGTTTCTTTGACCCTTTGTGTGTGTGAGGTTTCTTTCTTATCGGTTGATAAATTTTGTGTATGTCGATGCGTCTATTGATTGATGATTCACTGGAATACCAGGCTTCTAAAAGTTCTCTAGCATTCTTGGTGTTTGCTATGTCTAATATTTGAACATTGTCCCAGTCGAATTGATGTCCGTGGTTGTCTGTATGTAGTGGAGCGATATGAGGGAATGGAGGTCATGCCTTTCGACGGCTAGTTCGTGGATACGAAGACGAAAAGGACGTCCACTTTGGTCAATGTAGTTGTTACAATTTATTTTGTAGATGATGTTGGTTTTATCTTCTTTCATCGTTGAGACTTCTGATTGACATAGAATTGAGTGAAGTGGTTTTGTTGGTTTGTGTGCGACGTCAATTGCTACATTGACCAAAGTGGACGTCCTCTTCGAATCCACGAACATAAGCTACCCGTCAAAAGACATGACTTCCACTCGTGGAGAAACCTAAAAGCTCACTACAAATTGAGTATACGCTAAAGATGTCGCCTAGTAGGGCGATGAAAGCTTCACAAATTAGCTACCCAGCTTAGAGAACACAACCACATCAAAATCATCCACCTGAGGAGCTACAAATCTTCTCCATCCTATAACCCCTTATCTCAAGTAACAATGGGTGTCAGATATAGGGTTTGCCCAATCTGTCCAGTTCTATAGTCAGATATGACGGACTTGCGTAGTGGTGGGGGTGGTCTGCTTTCCTTTCCGACTTCGTGTCTAGTAGACTGCATCTTCATCGTCTTGAAATGGAGATAAAGTCTATCTGATTTTTTGCTGTGTCCGTCCAAAAATTGATAGTTACCGCATAATTATAATGATAATAATTACCCACATCACTAGCAAACATTTCATCTGTTTGATCGATGAATTATCTTTTATTGAAATCAAATTTTCAAAAAAAACAAGGTTTGTGTATATGCTGATTAAAATAAAGAGTGTAAATAAGATCAAAAATAAGTATTGGCATGTTCCATATGCTACTGATAAGTCAATTAAAGTAGTTTAAACAAAAAGTATTTGAAAGATTTCTGTAGGAGTAGCAGTAGCGAAAATGATCGATCACACATGCATAATAGATGAAAAG